TTCGTCGCACAGCTAGTCATCGGTTGGTCCCACGCAATTTTTTACTTAAAACCTCCCCTGATACAGTCTATAACGCAATGAGAGAATCGCTACGTCATCGTTCGTTTCGTTCGTTCTGATCTATGATATAATAAAATAACCTTTATTCCTTATCCCAAAGGTGTGAGACCGTGTTTCTTATGAGACCCCTAATTATTTCAATTTTACGTCTCGTTCGCAACGCGGTGGTTATTGCTGTGTCGTACCACGATTGATATAGAGTGCAAGGTCGTTTAGCAATAATAATGTGCAACGAAGACGCGAAGTTCACTCGCAGTTTAAATGTTTGTTTACATTTTTTAGTTTGCTTAAATTTTATTGTGCGTGCGTGTATGATTGCTTGAAGCTCGCGTATAATTAAATTGAAAGTATGAAAGTTACTTATATTGTAATGTTTATTGATGTATACTATACTTACATGTATATTACTTGTAAAATTTTGTAAATAGAGACCTCCTAAGAGTGTAATTGTAAATAGTACTTTTTCACGATGTCGTCGACGCGAAAAAACGCTAGTGCTTTGTGGTCGCATTATGACAAAGACGAGGTGAATAAAAAAGCTAAGTGTCATTTGTGCCAAGACAACTTAAGATACAAATCTACAACAACGAATCTGAGAAATCATCTAAAACGAAAACATATTGGCACATATTCCTCATTAGTTGAGGAAGAAAATCCCGAAACTCGCGGTCACGCCGAAGATGTGCCTGCCGACCAATCACAACCTTCGACCTCCAGAGCTGCCCAAACTCAGATTTTAGTTCCTCCTCCAGCAAAGAAGGCTCAAAAAATTGATTTCTTTATGCATAAAAAAATAAGCGCAGACCAGAAAAAAAAATTGACCAAGACTTGTTGGATTTATGTGTAGACAGTTTTCATCCGTTTTCCATAGTAGAAGAACGAGCTTTTATAAAATTTTGCCGATGGATACCTGGCTACAAATTACCCACAAGGAAAACTTTGTCGAATTCCCTCCTCGACGAAGCTTACTTCAGAACAGAAAAAGAAATAAAGACCCAAGTAACCAGTGAGGTTCAAACAATTTGTCTGACCACTGACCTATGGACTTCTCGATGCACAGAGAGCTACATTGCGGTTACCGGCCACTACCTTACTGAAGACTTTGTTTTCAGGACGATTTTATTGGGATGTTGCCATTTCTCCGGCAGTCACACATCCCAAAATATTGCATCCGAAATAAATGCTCTTGTGGATCAATGGGGTTTACAGGGAAAAGTTAACTTTGTAGTTTCCGACAATGGAGCGAATGTTGTAAAGGCTATAAAAGACGTATTAGGCTTTAAACATTTTGGATGTTTTGCGCACACGTTGAACCTCATCGTGGATGACGCTTTAAAATACTGCAAAGAAAAAATTGATAAGGTCAGAAAAATCGTGACCCACTACAAAAAAAGTACAGTATCGGCAGAGCGCTTGGCAAAATACCAACTTAACCAAAACACTTCTCAACCCAAGCACCTTATTCAAGACGTGGACACGAGGTGGAATTCCACTTTTTATATGCTAAGTAGATTTGTGGAGTTAAAAGAAGCTGTGCGTTCTACAATGGCTCTGATCGATCGGGACTTGCCGCAAATAACAGCAGAAGATTGGAGTATTTTCGAAGAACTTATCGTTGTTTTGCGCCCATTTGAAGAGCTCACAAGATCCATGAGTGGTGAAAAATATTTAACAGCGAGTTCTGTCATTGTAATGACGAGATGCCTTAAAGAGGCATTAAATATTACGATCGAAAAAGCAAGCTCAGAAACTGTCAGTGATATTGCTCTATTCTTGAAAGCCGGTTTATTAGATCGACTTAATCATATAGAGCAAAGCAGAACCTTGTCTCTTTGTACATTCATGGACCCGAGATTCAAGATGCAGGGATTTGAAGAAGAAAGTGAGGCCACAAGAACTAAAGAGCATGTAAAAAAGCTCGTGGCAGATATTATAAGCAGAGATGAGAGACAGAGAGCAGAGCTTATTCCTGCTGAACAAAACCAAGAGCCGTGTCCGCAGCCCGATAACGACCTAAGCCCATGGTCAATTTTTGACAAGTTACTTGGACAATCTACAAAGGGAACTCCACTGTCCCGGGCGATCAAGGAAGTGGACATGTATTTGACAGATGAGAGATTGCCTCGCAAAAATTCTGCCGGTAATTGGAATTCTCCTTTAGAGTGGTGGAGGAACTACCGTGCAGTCTACCCCAATTTGGCTAAATTATATATACGCCAATGTAACATCGTAGCAACATCCGTTCCCTGTGAACGGATGTTTTCCAAGTCAGGATTAATAATTAACCAACGTCGGACCAGATTAACTACCAGAAAAGTACAGAAGCTTATGTTTCTAAATGTCAACATGTCGGAGGAACGATTCAAAATTTAAATAAGAAAAAATTTATATTTATTAAACAAAAAATGTGTAAATAGGTACGATAAAAATTCTTACATCTATAAAAATACAAAAAAAAAAATAAAAAAAAAATTATGTACAGCAGTGTAAATATGTGTAAAAAATTCTAAATGTATATAAAATGAAATGAACTTTTAAATACGCCTGGTATAAAAATAATTACCAGCCAGTCCTAAGCCTGGAAAAGTATGAAGGGGAGTTCATTCATAATTAAAAAAACGGAAACGGAAGAATAAAATTAAAATTTAAAATAAAAATTCAACAGTCGCAACTCCGGAACCGTTCACTTGTCGAGACGAACGTCGACGAGATTTCCATAAGTGTGCTTTGAAGTTTACGTTTCGCGTTCGTTCGTCCGTCGTCATCCGTCCTAGTCCCCAGTGGCGTAGCTACCAAGGGGCTAGGTGGGGCAGTGCCCCGGGGCCCTCAAGCTCAGGGGGCCCTCGAATCTTTACCAGAAAATCACAATCGAACTCAACTTTTGAAAATTTCTCCCATCTTCAAAATAAAAATGACAGGTGACAAGTCGAGTTTAATCATGGAAACTCAGTTATGAGTAATTCCAAAGTTATAATTAGGTACCCTCCTTTGCGTCGCGCAGTCGGGTAAAAAGGGAATTCTCGTAAATTATTTGTGTGGGTTGACAGTGTTATTAATGTTTAATATCTGCATATTAATATTTTTTTTCGAGAATGGTGAAAAAGTTATTGTATCACGAGTAAGTAATGTCAATAAATTTTTTGTACTGTTCCATACAAAAGTTCAATTTTATTTGATTGTAGTCCGTCAAACCGTCAAATGTGGTAACACTGGCGGCGATAAAATGTTTGCCGGGGATTCCCCAACGACGTCTTGTATCGTATCATTACGTTTACTTTTCTTTTACTTGTAACGTTGTCAGTGAACAGTGAGTATCTACCTGAGTACAGTCTTACATAAATATTGCATAAATAAATTAGAAAACTAATATTATGGACAAAAAAAAAGAAACCCAATGGTGCATTTAAACGCAAACAACGCCAAGAAAGAGGAGAAAGTAAACAAAAATTGCCTAAAATTAACAAGTTTTTTAGTCTGCCTTCTGCAAGTACTTCTGGACCAAATATTTCTATTGATAATTTTTGTAAATAGCTTGCATGGCGATAGGTTAGATAAGTGTAAGCTGGTGCAACGTATCTATGAATAAATAAATACCTATATAATAAACCCTTGAATCTTTTCTATTTCGTTTTATTGCCCAATACCTACCTACTACTACCAAGTATAAAAATAATTGCAATTTATGTTGTTAGTGTTTAATAGTTTTATTACCTGCCTATGCACGAAAAAGAGCTGATGATAAAGTTGCTTAGCATTTTTAAAGAATTTGTATATTTAATGATTTTACTTCAAAAAACCTTATCAGTTTTGATAGCAGTGGGCCCCATTTTTTTATTTGCCCCAGGGCCCTAGATTACCTAGCTACGCCACTGCTAGTCCCACATCAATCTCAAACCAGTTGCGAACGAGAACCGTTTCGAGAACTAGTTTTCGTTTATAAAGAAACGGCTGCGTTCCGTCGTCGAAAATTTTGACAACGACCCACCACTAGTCTCACTGCCGCCACGGTCGCGCGCGTCGCTCGGTCCCGGCGGGGCGGCGGGGGCTGTGGCGGGGGGCTGCCGGGCGCGGCGGGGACGCACGGTGGTATACGCAAGAGAAGACGTTTTCATTGTAGTTTTATTTTAAAAAATGTGTCCATATTCTACCGTTTCAATAAGGATATAAAATATTTAAAAAGTGTTCTATTACTGATACTGAATCACCAAAAAAAAATTTTTGCGCTGGAAATAAAATATTCCTGTATAATCTTTTCTGTCTACGAAGTGGCGGACTAATCCCATTAGACGCCCCGAGCGTCTTCAGCTTCCGATCGACAAGTCGCCCTCCCCCTTTGCTAAAGTCTGTACTAATTTGTCTACGGGGACACCAACCCGAATTTATAATTTGATTAAGGGACTTTGCAGCTATTTGGAGGCCCGGGGCGGATCACCCCTCCGCTCCCCCCTTAATCTGGCAATCCTGAATGCGAAACATGTGCGTCTGCTTAACGACCTTTTTCGCAGTTGACTGTGAAGCCGTACTGACAAGGACGCAGTTATTTCATCGTGCTTATAATAGAGAGAGACAAAGCACATAAGAAACATACAACTGACAAGATTTCGCATTCGAATGCGAGTGCGTCGGTGTACTAACGGCGTTAACAACTAAGTAGAAAGTATTTCAGCGCTCATTCCAACCCAATCGAATGTTAATGTTTTGAAATATGTTACAAAAAACGTAGTCTTTAAATTGTCTTGGTTATAACGTGATAAAAGCCAAAATCTGAATACTTAAATGTGGATCAGTCAAATGTGTTACGTCTGCTGAATAGGGTATTATTTATCCAGTTGGTAAGTGTCATAAAAAACAAAGTTTTTATCTTGAAATTTCTTCCTTATTTTATAACCTTAGTCAATGTTTAAAACACAGAGTGACGTCATATCATAGCAGCCACAATTTCGGTTTTGCTTAGTAAAAACACAGTCTACATAATTAAATTTTCTTAATTTTTTTTTCTTGCGGTATTGAATTTAAGTTATATTTAATAAATAATAGTACGGTAAATATAAATAAATAATTTATTTTATACTATATATATATATATATATATATATATATATATATTACTATATATATAGATTATGTGGGCATATGGTAGTAAATAAAAAAGTCCTAAAACAAATCAAAACAGCTTTATTTCTTGCTGGTTCATTGTGGATTTCATACTTGCACATGAATACCTACACTAGTTATTTCTTTGTTAAGTCTCGAAAATTTTCGTGTTTCGTTCAATTTGTTCTATGAAGTGTATACAAAACATCGATAAATGAGACTATATAGGTAGAGTAATTTTAAAATTGAACCACACACAGACGCCTATTGAATCACAGTGGGAAAGAGACCCAAACGGGTTTACAATAAAGTTGAGTATCTAGGAGAATCTAACCACCCTATTGTTATCCGTTGAACTTGACTAGTTCGGGAATGTAGTCTTTTGCCATGAGTCACATATTTCTACTTCTTCCCATAAATGGTTATTACACGTTAGACCCACGGCGTCAGGTCACATTCGTAAACAACTCGGGATAACATTATTAAAAGAATGGTTCATTAATTTCCCTATCCTATTTCCCAGTGCAATACAGTTATGCGGTATACTTTAATACTCAACTATACTATTTTTGGACTGAAAATGATCTATTTGGTACAATATCTGTTAGGTGGATGAGGGTAGATAACATTAACTAGCTATTATTATAAGTCGCAGTCGTACTCGGTGGCCGAAGAGCGGGCGACGCACCGGCACTTATACCGAATACATTAAAATGGATTTTACTGAGGTTCGAATCCAAAACAAAATATACAGAACATCTTAAATTATAAAGGTGCAATATAGAAAAAAACTTTACATAAAAATAGAAAAAAAATCAATACAATTAGCAACCTTTAATTAGAGGAACTAGAGATGTTCAAATTCATACGACAATTCAAATCACAAATTGAGAATGTTACAGAATCGGTAATATTCTGGATTTACGAATATAAAAAGCCCCTATTATTTACCCCTATTAAATTAGCTAATACCTATAGTCCATTCTATACTATTATCAGTTAAATACCGTTATCATTAAATTTAATAAAATCATATTTAAAATGTGTACATACATTTACGGCTGATCGAACTTGCGCCAGCGCAGATTGCACATTATGAATTAACAACAAATTCAATTACGATTATACTAGAGCGTCGTCTGCGCTACCGGAAGGCTTTCGAATGCAGTCTGTCCATTTTATCGGCAACGTTAAAACTATACAACTATTGAAAGTAAGTATACTCGATGATTTTATAATTTGCCATTCGAATAGTTTCTGTAAGAATATACACTTAAGATACAACACAAGTATTAAACCGATATAATTGACAGACACTTATTACACATACATGAATGGTAGCTTTACCACAATTTAGTTTTAAAATTGAGTTCGCTTATGATGGATGATGGTGAATGTAAATTAGTTTCAACGTCAAGCTATTAACGAAATCAAACGTCGCGCAGTAACGGTGTTACATTATTAAGACGCGTTACGTTAAATATTATTATTTTTAGTGCAAAAATACTAAATAAAAAAAAAAAATCAACATGTCCGAAAACGAGATATCGGTAGAGTACTTCAATTACCACATGGTAAAATGTCATGGCTTTAGCGATACAATGAAGCCATAAAAATAGTACTATTGTGACATTACAATTACTTTTCTTTTGTTATACGCGGCGTCTTCGGGGCGGATACGATATTATAAAAAAAATATATATATTAATGTAAAATTAAGATTCAATTTAGTTCGCTAAACATTTATAATTACACTTTATTTATAATTGTATTGAAACAAATTAAATTATAAGGTACAATTCAGCAAAAAAATAAATGTGTGGGTACTTCAATAATGGTTTATTTTAAGTGTTGCCAGGTGACATACAAAACTACTATTTCATCACATATATATGAGTATTTCATGATATATTATTTTTTATAAACCGCACCGCCACGTGTACGCCACGAAGGCCGTCTCAATATACCGTCCAACATAAAACACCGCTAAATGCATCACTCCAACATCGTATTTCCAACACAAACAATGTACGAGACGGCCAAGTGCCACATTCGTTTAGATTACAGTTAATAAACTACAAAAAAGCACTACACTCTTTTCGTACAAAGCATCACAAAAATACTACAAAGAAATGTGTAGACATAACGGATTGTTAAAATCGAACACAAATCGTTGGTAAATCGCTAACAAAATATGTTCATATGCAAAAAATATAGTTGAGAGGACAGCAGCGTGAGGGGGGCGCTGTGGCCGTCTGTACCTGCTGCTCGTTGCTCTGTACATGTTGCGCCGTCTCGTTTAGTGTTGATCCATCTGTAAGTGCCGAACATTGTTACACAATCACATCTATGTACCTATACAGTTGTAAGAAAGAAAAAAGAATAAACTTAAATATACTGTTATACCTTACTACAAGTTATTATATAACCTATCAAGGGTAGCAGTACTTCATCCACTTAGATTGTAATACTTAGTTATTTGTCTATTGCTATTGTTAAGTATGTATCTACTACAGTCTCTTTTTGAAAATAAAGAAATTTATATAAACACATATTATTAGGTCCTTAGATATGAAATTGGTGTTTGGTATGGAAGGAACAAAAAGTCGAATATTTTTTAATATAAAATATTTATTTAATCAAAGTATAAACCATTGTTATCTATGCGCTTTTGCCATCTCATAGGTACTTTATTGATCCCCTTACTACAAAAAGCATTCGGACGGGAATCAATAAAATCTTTGAAGGCGATTTGCACTGCCCCATCGGAGTTGAATTTTTTCCCTTGCTCGAATAAAAATAGTAATCTGTTGGAGCAAGGTCCGGGGAGTACAGTGGATGTTTTAGACAATCCAATTGAAGCTCTTCTAATTTGGTATCCGTCTGTTGTGCAGTGTGTGGTCTAGTGTTGTCAGTATACAAAAACATGTGTAAATGGCTGTATAAATTTTAATTTGGAATTCGCAACCAAGGAGGAGAAATTTGTGATTAAAGTGGCCAGTACGAGAAAACGCCAATTTCATATGTATGGACTTAATATTAATACATAAATAATTACACCACTCAAAGACTTAAACATAATAACGACACATTGTGGCCTTATTAACTTGTTCTATTTAATGAACTTAATTGATCAAAAAAGTGCGATTCTTGCTAACGTTCTGTCATCACAAAACTCGGGTAACCATGCATTATGTGAATTCAACATATCCTTTGGATGAGACCTGGTGACCTATAGGTCAGGTTCATCAAAACCTCTGTTAGACACCAGCCTCTCACAAACTGTACGATTTGGTTTCTTGTTATTGTATGTACGTAGATTAAGTTTGTGAAGGAAATAAATAAATAATTATTATTATTGTAAACTCTCTGAATATTACTAATGGGCTGCTGGAACACCATTTACGCATCGGAAAAATGAGAAATGTTGTAACTATAATTGCAGGTACTTATTGCTGCGGTCTAGGCCCTAAATTGTGGACCATAGTCCCTAGACTCTAGGGAAAAGGCGGTTACGTACCCTGTGACTTTTTTTAAAATCTTATCACAATCACCTTGAGGTTGCACATTTGAAAGATATTCACGAACTTCACGCTGCAACCATTGGACATTTTATAGTAATAGGGAATATGCACATTTTTGGAAAATGGTTTTATATGATAATTTACATCAATATATAACTGTAAAAAAAATACCCAATACCGTAAAACTAAAATTTTGTAACATTAATCATTGATGAAAATAAGTAATAGCTACGAGCAGTTTTAACACCGGAATTTTTGGCGCGCTCGTCGTGACGTCAAAGTACATGACTAGAGATGTGACATTTTAAATCAATATGGATTTTGAGTGATTGATTATTATTCAATTACCCGAATCGATTAACAACTAATCGATTTTTTAAAGTATAATAGACGTTTTTAATAAATCATATAATTTACCAAATTGCTGAAATAAAAATAAAAGCCTAAAACATAATTTAAATTGTAATCAGTTGTTTACTTTGCGACATAATACATTGATGTTATTGCATCGATGTTAACTTTTTGTAACAACGACATCCCTATACGTGTACATTTTCGTCACATCCGCTCAGACAAGTAGCAAGGCGTTTAAATATTTTGAAGTTACCGCATTTGTTTTGCACTTTTTAATAATTATTTTCAAGACGAAAACGAACAAATTTTGAAAAACATTTAGATAGATTTTATTCTTAAGAAATAACGATTGTAAAAAAATATATTTAACCTTTTTTTGAATCAGACGCATATACCCTATTGCGATCGCAACGTGTTTTTGAAAGATATCGAATGAACGGATAACGTTTATTTGACGCCTAAACAAAGAGTTAGCTTAAAATTTATTATGTAATTCAAATTATCATTCGTTCACACTATCACAAAAGCTATACGTTTGAAATGTTTGTGATAGATTTTAAAATTAGACTATTAGGCCATGGTCTTCGTTCTGGGTTGTCCAGCCCGCAAGAAAGGTCCACTGGCCTACGAAGTGGGGTTGGATACCGTATCGTCGCGGAGTATTTCGCAGTGGGTTTACCAGGTAAACACGCTTCAGGTGCATTTCCACAGCGTTATCAAAGATTAAGATACTTATTGCTATGTCAATTTAATTTGAGTTGAAAACGACTACAATTACATGAAACATTATTTATTTATGACATAAATCAAAAGTATTAGAGGCCTGACGATGAATTTAATTGTTAGATTTCGGTGTTGAAAATATATTGAAAATATTTTGAAGTACCACTACTTTCAACACACGCAAGTGTATTTTGTACGGTCAACAGCACGTCAGGTTATAAAAAACTGACAAATGTCTACACTTGATTTAAAACTTTAATGTCTTGAGTGTAGTTTAAAATTAACTGGAGAAAATTGACATATTATAATAATCTGACATGCAGCCGTGTGACGTGAACAAGCTCTTAATTATTAATTATCATCATCTGCCCTTTTACGTCCCCACTGCAGGGGCTCAGGCCTATCTGATGGATGATTAAGGAGAATGGGCCATATCCTTGTAAGAGTGCGTCATACCACCGTTTATGGCTGGTCTTGGTCCACGATGGCTTAATGCGGATTGGAGGGTATTGGCAACTGCAAATATAGCCGGGACAACCGCTTGCGCAAGTTGCGTAACAAGAACGATCCCGGCCGCTGCGCTTATCCACTTCGGCGCCGAGCTACTAAATTCTCTTAATGAATGCATATAATTAATAGTAACTACAAAACCATACCTGTTCCTGTCCGTTGGTCTCCTGAGATTTCATGACATCTGGCAGATCCGGGGGCGATGAGTACGGGGTCAGATCCAGAGCTTCGAATTCACCACTTTCCTTTCTGTGTATAAACATTTATATTATTAATTCATTAAATTGTGGCACAGTTTTTATATGGCAGACACGACTTGTGAATTTTGCCAAGTAAATGTCAAGTAAAAAATTTGGAAAATGAATAGGAAGGGTGGGATCAGGAATGTATGGTGTTTATAAATCTTAAATATAAATATTTAAGATATAAATATAAATATTTAAGATTTATTCATATATTTCAGGATCATTGATTATATGGAGTTTAGCTAAATGATAAGGCGCAGAAGAATGACCAAGTCTCATACGTGTAATTGAAGAGGTTTCTAGCTTACCACACTACATTAAGAAAAAAACTTAAAAAATATATAAAACCGACTTGAAACTTTAAAAATATGATAAATAATTCTTATCTTAAAGCTATTTATTCAAGTAAATGCTATTGGAGTCTAAAAATATTCAACATAGTGAAAGTCTTTGAAAAGAAGATTTTATTCATAATTTATTCCAATAATTCTATACTCGTATTTAAGAAAAGGGAAGATTGGATTGCTTTTTTTTTTCATCTATGGGAAGCTACTGAATACGCGTTGGACATAGACTATAATTTATGCAGGCGAAGTCGCGGGGAAATAGCTAGTTTGATAGAAATTGGTTCATAATTCAAGAAGAAATCGATTAAAATACCTACTTTCATAAAAAAATATACATATACATACTCCTTGAACATAGCAAAATTCACTAGTATAGAATTTAAAATACGCAATCTTTTGTATTTTACCTAAAATCGGCATGTCCTACCATATCAACTAAATATTTGGGTGACATCTGGTGGAAAGCGTATTTTGTTATAAAAGGAAAACTACTGATTCGATTACGATAAATGGGACCACTTCGGATCATGAAGCTGTCGAATAAAAGAAGAATTTTGAAAATCAGTCAACAATTTGCGGAAATATCGGTGAACATACATAAAAAAATAATACATCGCCGTCGAGCATATAATTTCCTTTTTGGATTTAGAAGTCGGTTAAAAACCGAGGTTTCGAAGGAATATGATTTTGTACCTGAACATAAAATTTACCTTTTGACAATTTATTGACTTTCACATTTGTTTCCATTTCTCGCGTAATATTACTTTTGGAATTGCTAATAATAAATGTGGACAATAGTTTTGAAAAGGAAAAACGTCTCCACTTAGCCAACCTATTGCCTATAATATTACCCTCTATACCAGTGATTCCCTAAGTGGTCCAGGTGGGTCCACGAAAGATTCAACGGGGGTCTACGGAACTCACCCGCGACGCCAATTTGCATCGTTAAATCTTCACATTTTGGACGAATTTTGGGAATATGGTAAAAATGTAGCAGCAGAGGGTCCACCGAAACCAGTAAATTTTTTAAAATGGTCTACGAAAAAAAAAATTGTTCTGGAACCTCTGCTTTAGGATCCAAAGTCCAGTATTGCAAGATAAAATTATCAACATTATATTATCTTTAATAATATTGATAGATAATTAATTGTCATAACTGCACACTTGCTACAGATTAAATTGTCCCTTTTTAAGAATATAAAAAGACAGTGGTAATACCATATGGAAATATTATTTTTGAATGCTATATATAAAAATCAGTTTTCTATGTATATGTTTGAAAAGGAAGTTTTTGAAATTTTTTGAAATTATACATTGCATATTTTTAAATATAAAGGTGAAAGCACATTTAGTGTCACAACACAACTCAAATGTATTTCTAACTATGCCTACTAAATGCATGAATCTAATATGTTTCTGTTGTTAAATAGTTATAGTCAAAGTCAAAGTCAAACTCAAAATAATCTTTATTCAAATAGACTTCTTAAAAGTACTTTTGAATCGTCCAACATTTTTTCCCTACCACTCGTTCAGGACGTCTTTTGGCTGATAAGAAGAACGAGCAAGAAACTCACCAGCTCTAATATGAGTAATGACATTTACAAAAACCATGTCATTACCAGATCAATACATTATAAACAGAGATAAAAAAAACTATGGTCTTATAATAATAACATAATCATTTAATAATAATGGAAACAAGATAGTGAGTTTAGAAGTAATCACCTATCCAGTTGCTGGATCACCTCAAGTCCAAGCGTTCTTATCTGTTATATAATCGGATACCTTATAATAAGCTTTTTTAATAAGTATTTTTTTAATAGTAGATTTAAACTGCATGATATCTAATTGTTGTATTTTGCTTGGGACCTTATTGTAGAAGCGCACACAAAGACCCTTGAAAGAGTTATTAACTATTTGCAGTCTAGTGACAGGCACCGTTAATTTATTTTTATTTCTTGTATTAAAATTGTGTACATCACTTTTTATAGAAAACAAACTAATATTTTTACGAACGTACATTAAGTTCTCGTATATGTATTGAGAAGCAACAGTCATAATCTCTATTTCCTTAAATTTCTCCCTTAAAGAGTCCCTAATCCTAAGATTATAAATTGATCGAATTGCTCTTTTCTGAAGCACAAAAATTGTTTGTATGTCGGCAGCATTTTCCCACAATAGGATACCGTACGACATAACACTATGAAAGTAACTGAAGTATACTAATCTGGCAGTATCTCTGTCAGTTAACCTACGTATCTTCATTACGGCATATGCTGCAGAGCATAGTCTACTCGACGATCTATCAATATGTGGGCCCCACTGTAGTTTAGAATCTAATGTTATTCCTAAAAATACTGTGGTATCCACAAGGCCCATGTTCTTATCTTTTACATTAACATTTATATCTACTTTTTTAACATTAGGTAGTACAAATTTTAAGCATTTTGTTTTTCCTTCATTAAGGAGAAGATTATTTACATTAAACCAATGTACTACTTTAGCGACAGAATTGTTCACATCGTCATTTAGAGGTAACCCTCTTTTAATTTTAAACAAGAGTGAAGTGTCATCCGCAAACAAAACTATTTCGTGATCATCCCTTACGAAATAAGGCAAGTCATTTATGTAAATCAAAAACAAGAAAGGACCAAGTATTGAGCCCTGCGGAACGCCCATCTTAATTTTCGATCCAGGGGATCTTTTGCCATTGATATCAACCCTCTGTACTCTGTCAGTCAAGTATGAGACAATAAAATCCAATGAGTTATCTCTAAATCCATAAAAATGCAGTTTCCTAATCAATGTTTCATGAAAAACACAATCAAATGCCTTAGATAGATCACAGAAAACACCTAACGCATCATGTGAATCCTCCCAGGCATTAAAAATTTCTTGTATTAACTCGACACCGGCTTCGGTTGTCGAGCGACCCCTTGTAAAACCAAATTGTTGTCGATTCATAAGCTTATTCTTGTAAAAGTACGTTTGTATTTGATCCAGCATGATTTTTTCAAAAATCTTACTAAACATAGGTAGCACGGATATAGGTCTAAAGTTAGAAGGGTCAGATGTGCTACCCGATTTATGTAAAGGAATAATTTTACTATATTTCATGAGCTCAGGAAAAATACCACAATCAGTACATTCATTAAATATATAAGCTAAGATTGGAGCTATTGTCTCAATTACCGATTTAGAAACTTCAATGGAATTACCCCATAAATCAGCAGTTTTCGTTTTCTTTAGCTGATTAAAAGATTTTCTTATATCTTTAAAATCAATATAAATAAATTATATTAAAGATATAATTAAAAGATTTTATTATATCTTTAATATAATGTCACTAACTATAACTAGTTAGTGACATGAGTTTAGATTTTGATTTTATTTTGCATAACATCAATTAATATACCTATTTGTTTGATCACTACATAGTATAAAACAAAGTCGCTTTCTCTGTTCCTATATCCCTATGTACGCTTAAATCTTTAAAACCATGCAATGGATTTTGACGCATTTTTTTTTTCATATATAGGATGATTCAAAACGAAGGTTTTTATGTATAATAAAAGACCACGCGTGAGAAGCCGTTGCGGAAAGCTAGTTATTAATATACTAACAAAATTCTAGGAAAATATATTGGTACATGTTTTGGCAAGCTTTGTTATGATTGAAGTTATAAAATTGTACCTGAGAGCCAGTCCAATTGGTGCAGGACACTGAGCTTTGGCTGTAGCCGATGTTAAACCATACTCGGCTAGTGTCTTCTCATCCTCCATCAGCTGACTGTCCTTGTTGAAGAGCATTTGACTTGGAGGAGGCACCTTCAGTATACCTGAAGCAAATAATGTTATTAATAAAGATTTGTTGTTCAGCACAGTTTTGTAGTAGGTACTATGTGCAAATCCAAAAATGTTGATGCCTTTTTCGAGAGGAGATATGCCCCCTCAACTCAAAAGATACTCTTCAGTTTCTGAAATTAAATGGTAGAAAAAATTTAATGGTAGTTTTAGTAACTCTACCATTAAAGTAATTGAATTTTATAAAATTTAATGTTCCTCCACGCTTTTCATTGAATTTAATGTTCCACTGTATAAGATTGTGTGCCTAAAATTCACTTGATATATCAATTTTGGTTAGTTACTATATAACTTGTTACAACTACAGTGTAAAATCTTTATATTGAAACCAAAATTATACTGAATGAAGAAAATGAAAATTCAGGAAAATATTCCTTCCTTATATTGAATGGCTGCATTCAACCAAGTGTGCTCACTTTTATGTTACATAATTGATCTTTCAGAAAGAATTTATTATAATTAAAAAGATTATATAAATGAAACAGGTTTTAAATTGCATTAGTATTTAGTTTAAGGTGTAATATTGATTTGAAGGTAGCTATACTCGTAATTAAAAAGACAATCAAAACCTTAGTCTTATGTGAACACAGAACCTGTATAAGTACCAAAACCTCAATAAAACTAAATACAAATGCAATTAAACTGTTAAAAAGTTGTTTCATTTATGAATAATGCATGTGAAAATATAAGAAATCAAGAGCATATAACTAAAAAAGAGATTCAAATATTGTATTTTTCCTAAAATCTCTTAGAAATTAAGTGGTGAACCATTAGATTTCAACCACACAAATTGTCTTATTCACATCAAGAACCTAGTTTTGTTATCTATACTAAGAGATAGGCCTTCCCTAAGTATGGGCTGGCTGGTTTGGAGCTAGAGAGACCCCTCAACTCTGATAGGTATTAATAATTATTGTTTTATTAATTTACTTCATTCAATTAATTATTTCTCAAGTGAAATCAATACTAAGACAAAGGCCTTTGCTAAGTATGGGCTAAATATACCATCACACTGGCTATACCAATGGTACATTACGCGGACTTAATGCTAACAAAATTCTTTACCAGTCAACTTTTGGGGAAACAGATAGACATGATGGTGACATAAACTTAGACTAAACTACAAACAAGTTGATACATATATATGAACATATACACATACATGTACATGATATACAAAGTGTGATGATGACCTTCATAATCGCTGTATAAAAAAAGTGTGAACTTAATCTTATCTGATAACTCTTTAAAGAAACAAAAATTCACAAAGAGAGACATTCTCTTTCTAACATCATGTTTAAAGTTTTCATTTTTTTTTATTATGTTTATCTTTTCCATTTATTGTGACAGACAGATTATTTCTCTCAGAGTCTTAGAACTTTTAGAACTTTAGTTTGAGAATAATATCCTTTGTTTTAATAATCGATTTTGTTTAAAATTTTGAATGAGTAATACATATGTTACTGATAAACATTAAATAGCATATACTGTGAAATTGTGGTGAAATTTGCTATATTAAATCTTGATAGCTTTATATATTAATGATATTTTTAAAAAATAATCTAACTAATCCACATAATCATTTAAAACCAGACAATGTTAACATTGTTTATACCAAATATGACATATCATAACAAAATATTTTCTTTTTATATTTAATTAATAATTCAGCATTACGGAATAAAGCACAGAGATTATTATGTTAAGACAAATACGAATACGAACAATACTGAAAATACAACGCCAAACAAGAAAACCTACGCTTATATTATGACATTGTATTGCAACTAAAAATAGATTTTCATGGATCAAAGAGATCAGTCTTACCTTCGATCATTTTCTTTAATTCTAATACAGTTGTCGTATCCTTGGCGTCTGTAAAGATGGTTAACTTTTTTCGCCTAATCATTAGAAAGACATCCTGAAAACAAATTACAATTTTGAGGTTACTAGTCGACGGCAGATATACGTCAACATTAATTTATTATTAAAGCAAAAAAGAATTAGGTTTCTGGTGAATTTCTAACTTAACAGCACTCACCATAGTGGGTTTATTATTTATTTCTAATATCTATAACTTTATGTAAAAAAACGCTTCAAGGCGTATGAAACGAAATTAAATACTGACACATATAACCAATGTTGCCAGCTAACTAATCAGTCCTTACCTGATCGATAATATTTTTTTTTTGGTTTTCCCTACACACTACACTAAAATCGAATAATATAAGTTTAGTAGTTTTTTAACATTACATTTATATTCAGCTCTTGCTGCCATGCTATCAGCAATATTTCTCTAAATACTGCTTCAGAAGAATCGACAGAAATGTGTTAAGATACTGCCACAGACCACGCCATTCATTTCACAATCGAGTTTCGGTCAAGGGAGACGACTTAGAGTATTAAATTTAACTCTCTAAGGCAGAAGGTGAAACATTTACATTTATGAGGACATCGGAGACTTATCAGATGTAGTTCAACATTCTGATAATTTACATTCCAAATTACTTTTTGGTTTCCAGTATGTAGGTAGTTCATTTTAAACAAAAAATAAATAAAACAAAAATATAAAATAAACGTTTGTATGAATGAATGTCACAGACGTGTATTTTGTATTTTGGTTTTATTTATCTTGATGCTTAACAAGTACTGTTTGAAAGAGAAAAACATAAACACGCACTTTCGTTCCCGCTAGCAGTCCTTTGACTTCCACAAAAAACTAATGCTAGGGGGAAATGGGGAGTTTATTAGACGCCCGTCATGACGTCATGCCTGCGGGCAAATCTGCAGACATGCCTGTCAGACTACGTTACTGTAGATCTGTATAATAACCGCCACGGTCCTATAGACGGGCATGCACGAAGGCAAGTCTGCAGCTATGCTTGCCAGACTTTGTTACTCTCGCTACCTCGTGACATGACCACTCTATGGTAACATGTGAATTCCCCGCTGAAGACTAAATGTAAACTTAGTTTAGGAAGTTTTGAAAATAGGAACAAAAGACAGTCTTTTCAATTTTATTAAAAGGAGAGTTATGATTTTGGCTGGTTTGTATGTAAGAATGTTATAACTTCGAACATTAAATTGGCAATAGCGTCCTCTATTATAATAGCGATGACTAAAGGAAAGTATGCCACAACAGTTTGTTTTGTTATAATCAGTGGCATACGACTATGCTGTCCGTTGAATGACTAAATATAGCTATTGTAATATACATAGCTATCGCTATAAAATAAATTTCTTGTTTCAAACTTTTTAAAGCGTGATTGAGCTGTAGTCGTGTTTTTGAACTCTTTTTTTTGTAAACAATAATTGATGGTAATTTTAACTCTTTAAACTTATCCATTTTATTTTTATTTTATATTTGTTGCATTATATCAAAAAAATCTATAGTAATGTTATATAGTAAAAAATAAATAGGTATATATTGCGAATAAAAATATTGTCGCTTTCGCAAAATTCCTCATTATTCGGGTAATCTACCCCACTAATTTTCAATAATACAGATGGCGCTATTTCGATTTCACGTCACCACAGACCACTGGTTTTTTAAATCACTTAAGACAATCGTCAGTTACCATCATCATTCGTTTCAATTCGATTAGAGTTATCCTCATATCAATAAACTCGAGATGATGAGCTCAAATAAACAAGTGACACTTGTTTGACACTAGACAAAATGTTTGACAATCAACGATTTTGACATTTTAATCTTCAATGAAGCTTCGTCTTCGTCTTTTGAGTGTAGTTTATTTATGTTATAAAGCATGTTCTTCACAAAAGACCAGTTAAAACTTTATTGTAATCAATTTAAAAGTGATCGTACTAGTGTTTTTTGATTATATACACGTTGATGATAAATTTATAATGTAATTGTTTCAATTCTAACCTAACAAGTTTGGTCAATATGAATTCTCAAGTTTGTGTAAACTGTAGTAATAAGAAGCCAGTGAATCATACTAACAATCGGCTTGTAACTGAGAGCTGTGGCCACACAAAATGTATGGACTGTCTTCTACACGAAAAGTCTGGTTGTGGTGCTTGTATAATAGAGAAAGAAAAATCTTTGTACACAAACAAAGATATAAATAATGGTGATAGTGGTTCAGAACAGAGTAATGAATTAGTAGTATATGAAAAAGAGAGTAATGATAGTTTAATAGAATATGATAACTATGAAAAGAAGAAAAAGCTAGAGGTATCTCATATTAAAACAGAGACAGGTGAGCACTTGTAGCATACATTCTTTTATATTATTAAGAAGCCTTCATAAGGCTGTCAAAAAGTAATGCACAACTTATATAAAAGCAATACTTATATTTATGAGCACATTATTCTAAATCCTTTACTAAGTTCTCTTTTAATGTACCTATTTGCTACAAAAGTATATTTGAGTGTATTTATATTAAAATATATATTTTATAATTTGTTATTTATAGCTCAATATTCTCATTAACTTAAAAATAGAAGTTCACTCTACCAGATAATAAAAGCAAAATTATTTGAATATAATCTCCAGTGTCATGCTTTGGTAATCTATTGGTCCCCGAGCTCTGTATCTACATTGTTTTAACTGTTCCACAAAGCATCAAGGCTGCAATGAGTTTAATGCATCTGAATTTTTCTCCTGTTTTCTATACCTTATGTTACAGCATAATAAAATTCCATTCCAAGAATTCCATTATTTCAACTGGAAATATAATACAGGTCTTCTTTGTTTATATGTTTTACATTAAATGATAATAATGAATTTCCGTTTCAGATGCTAATGGCAAGTGTTATGTCTGCACATTATGTAAAAAGAAGTTTCATGCCAAGAGTCAAGTAGCATATCATGCATATTGTAATGGGCAAAGAAAACCTTTCCAATGTCCAGAGTGCAGTAAGGTTAGATATAATTTTATACTCTGGCTGGCATACACTCAACTATGCCTGCTTGTAAAGTTGTAAATAATAATAATGATTGTGTTTGTTACTCAGCCCTAATATTATAACATCAGACCTATGAAATATAAAAAATAACACAAATATTCATTACATTGATATCTTTAGAATTATTTTTTCTTTTTGACTTTCATATGTTATCATAATATGTCTTTACAAAATATGAGGCCCTATGTTTTAGTCTTAAAAAGAAACCACATGCAAAATTTGAAACTCCTAGCAGTTGTAGTAACAAAGTTTCATACAAACTTTCATCCCCTAATTTACCCCCTTAGGGATTGACTTACGTCAAATCCCATCTTAGTGAGCACCTACGTCTTAAAAAGAACCCACATGCAAAATTTGAATGTCCTAACACTTGTAGTGACAAAGTTTCATACAAACTTTCCTCCCCTAATTAAGCCCCTTAGTGGTGGAATTTTCAAAAATCTTCTACACTCCCTAAGGTATCTTCATTCCAAATTTCAACTTTCTACACTCAGTAGTTTGGCTGTACTCAGTAATGGAAAAATTATATATATAGATGGGTATATTACAATACAATATAATTACAATAAATTAGAATGGCATGTACGTATAAATTATTTGATAGTTATAGATACTGTCAATTAGTTGTGAATAGACCATAAAGTCAGTCTGTTCTTTACTAAGATCTGATCGTTTAATCTTTTATGGCATAAGTTTAAATCTTCTATGCAACTAATTTTAAAGTAAGTTTGTTTTAGAGTTTTGCTACGCATTCACATTTCAAGTACCACATGCGAGTGCACCGTAATGAGCGTACATACTCCTGTGAGGTGTGTGGTGAGAGCTTCTTCCAAATGTCCAAACTTCAGAGGCATAAACTCAAGCATACAAGTGAGTATACAGTATTACTTTAAACTCATTTTAATGACATTTTCGAATTATACCTATGTAATTGAGTTTTAATGAAACAGTGGTATTATTAGTTCCAATTTCAATATTATTATTACATTTAGAGTACACTAGTAGGGTACATTATCATCATCTACTAATGTCTACTATGGGTGAAAAATAATCAAATTAAAAAAGATTATGGGCCGTACTTGAATCTATATAGATGTCTTCAAGTATAGTATTTTTGTTGCATTGAATTATAAATTAGACTCTTCTGATATTTTTTTTGCCCTAACATTTTACATGCAAGTGTATTAGTTACATACAGACATAGCGGTTGATCTGGTGCAGTGGTTGTAGTAGATACATTCAAGGTTATTGTGTAATTAAGAGAATTCTTTAATATAATATAAATAGATGAGAAGAAATTCGTGTGCGTACAATGCAACAAGGCCTTCAGCAGTCTGTCCTCTCTGCGTAAACACGAGCTAACGCATACAGAGGTGCGCCCGTACGCGTGCGCTATATGCTCGCGTCGCTTCCGTGACAGCTCTAACTACAGGAAACACGTCGCCAAACACGACGGTCAGTGTCACTCTCCTATTTTTTATCTCCTATGTTAGTAGGTGTGAATAAGAGAGAAATAAAAAAGGGCATATGATACACTTTGTTGAATGAATTAATATTTTATTTGGACACAAACGCTATATAACTTAAAATAATAGGAACAATAATATTAATAATAATACACTCAATATACAAGAATAATAAAATTTTAAGTTAACCTAAATACTATCATTATCGGTGCAGTGTTCAAAAGGTTTCCGCTCGACATAATGCTGCAGCAGACAACAGCATTGCTCTTGAGCCTCCACCCCAGGTGAACATAACATAACATTGGACACCGACTACAAAATTTTTCTGTAAATGTTAGAAATAATATATTTAAGCATCTACGAGTCTAATGCGAATGTACACCTTTCTCATGTGAATTCTTCACCGATGATATCATTTGTTTTAGACAAAAAATGTAATTGCGGAGGCGGGTGTGAACGCTGCGCGCGCGGGGGCGGGGCGGGAGCGGGGGAGGGGGAGGGGGCGGGGCGCGCGCACCAGTGCCCGCGGTGCTCGCGCGCTTTCCACTCGCGCAAGGACATGCGCAGACACGTCGCCGTACACACTGGTAACTATTCGGTAGTGAAGTCATGGAATTTCAGTAAAACTTTACATTGAAAATCACGTGATTATCATATTAGGTGATATATATTTTATGGCTTATTTAAATTAAAATAAACACTTACAAGTACTCTATCAAACACAGTAATATATTCTATTGGGTGTCTTAACGTCCAGAGTGGAATAACTCAAACCTCACCACTATAGTTGATACATGATTACATGTTACGTTGCATTACAGACTCTAAGCCGTTTCGCTGCAAGATTTGCAACCGTCGATTTCGTAGGAAAGACAATCTCGAGAGGCACATACGTAACACACATCCCGATTACGTGCCGGCCAGCGCCGTAGACTGCGATCTGTTAGCGCTCAAGCAAATCTCTAATACCCACGACAGGGAAACCGAATCCCCCGAACGTACCAAGCAGAAATCCCTCCTGAAAATACTCAATCCCTTACCGCCGTTACCTCAAGAGGTGATTCAGAAACACATAAGCATAGAATGCAATGAGAATGTCGAGCAAAATCATCAAAAGATGGGTGATAAGACGATTGACAAATCTTATATATTAGAGGCTAATAATGCGCGTCAAAGCGTCATAGTCGGTAATTGTCCACAGGCGGAAAAGAAAATAGCAATACCTCAAGGGAACGAGTATGTGCACAAAATAAGGAAAGCAAATACAATGGCGAGTCAAAAGAATATACCACTGCCACCTATCGATGAGAAAAAGATGATAGAGTTAGAACAGAAAGCTAGCTTGAACAATTTGGATTTGGGCGCGCCTCCTAAAGATGTGGAGCTGTATAAGAAGATATTGTATGGAAAGTCTGAGATAGACGTAGATAATGCTCACGATGAAGAGAGTAAAGTGGAGCAGACCTCTCCAGAGATGCACTGGAGGAGGAAAATGAAGCTCAACATGAACTGGTGAGTATTATTGATTTTTAATGGTAGTTTGTTTTTAACAGGCGAGTTTTGAAGTTGATCATAATTATACATAATGATCTTATTACGCTAAGTAAAGCAATTGTTTTATGAAACTTGATTACGTATACATCCTGGCCTTCCTCAGTGTTCCCATACATATAGTGTGAAAATGTAATTTTTAATTTTGCTTTATTTTATCGCGCGCTTATTGAACGTCATGTACACTTTGTTATTCTACCATTTAGTATTATTTTCATAAATGTAATAAAACTATCAGAAGTATACCTTATCTAAATTCAAATATCGAAAAAGGCTCCATGATTTTCATGAAATTTAGAGCGCAGGGGGTTTAGTTCGGGGGCGATAAATCTTGCGCTATAAATATATCTAGGGTTCGTTTATCTCGGAAGTAAGCTCGGTCAGCCAGGTATTATAAATATTATAAAAGGTCGGGGGGAAAAGTTTCTTCGCATTTATATTAAAAATAAAAACAAAAATAATAAAGATTATTTACATTGAACTAAAGTTTGTAGGAACCATATTGTTTGATAACGTCTTGCCATCTTGTAGGTAGTGACATGATCCTATTGCTATAGAAAATTTAGGGCTTCTGATCAAAAAACCGCGACAAGTGGTTTTAGCAGTCCTCGCGTGATGTTAATCTGACATTGCCTTAAGAATTCTGGAGTGACCGAAACAGATGGAAATCTGAAGGTCTATATGGCGGATGCATTAACATCTTCCAACCAAATTCTTTTAATTTTTGTTGAGCGGCAAAAGGTCTAACGTTATAATGTTGAAAAACCACACCTCTTGTATTGATTAATTCTGGCCGCTGTCTAACTTCTTGCTTTAATCGCATTAGTTGTTTGCAGTAGAGTTCAGAATCGATGGTCCTGCCTGGCGGTAACAGCTCATAATGAATAATGCCCTTCCAATTACACACAACATAACCTGGGTTTTGTCACAATCTGTGAAGCCTGACCGACTTTGACCTTGAGCTTTTCAAACGTCCTTGTCGTACGTGCTCATTCTTCAATAGTTATCGAAAATGGTTCGGTTTCATTCCACCATAACAAAGAATCACATTTGAATACACGATTCATTAGGTTTCACTCAATGAGCTTGTGAGGTACCAAAATATCCAACTTTTTGTGTACCCAGCTAATGCGTCAAAACATTTCTGTGATCAATCCCCAGTTCGTCATCTACGTCGTAACTACTGAAATGCAAAAATGGCATCCATTTTATCCGTAACATGGTAATAGCAGCGACGTGCATCTTTGACATCAAAATTTCCGGACTGAAAACTCTTTCACCAAATTTTTCCTACTCTCATGGAATCTGCACACCATAAACGTCATGTTTTTTTCTTAGAATAATTACCTTTTTTGTAATTTTTTTTTGTTAAAAATTGTATCGAATTTCTTCATTAGATTCACTCATTTTGACAGTAAGAAAAACAAATGAAAATCACATATTTTCGTAATTTGAATTCGGAGTTATTTTCTTTAAAATATAAACTTTTAATAATACCGAAACCAGCCAGATACAAAATATGGTATAGCCAGAAAGTTTTTATTACAAGTTTATATTATTTATACTATATGCGAAAAGACTTTTCCCCCAGCCTAATATAATTTACTTAAAAAATTGGTCACTAAACAAGTATATCGTAATTCATCCTCTCTATTTCAGATATGAAAATGAAGGCTGAATTGCGTGATTATGTATTAAGCACACCATGGAACTGGATTTTTTATCACTTGATGTATTTCTCTATAGTTATTATTTTTATATAAATATTATACACGTAGGAAAGACATGGAATATAATTACAGGGACTGATTCGGTTGCACACTATATTGGACTTGAAGTTACGAATATAATTTTTAACCTTATCGTAAAAAGGAAAAGTCCCATGAGATAGCATACATGGCTTTATTTCCATCATATTAGCATATCTTTTCTATCCGTATTGATAAGAGCAGGACAGACATTGATACTAGAATGTAAAATGCAAACAAAGTGAATTGTAGATATTTTTATAGTTATGCAGGCTTTCTCAAAAGTTTTTTAACACTTACTGTTACAAAATTTTCATATTTATTCTGATCAGAAAAAGAAAAACAGGTACAGTTTAAGTGATCTTTCTCTCTCTTTTAGTAGTAGATGCAAATTTGAAATTTTAGAGTATGGAGCAAATCTGTCAGTCACCATGCCATAAAGGGCTGTAACTAGAATCTTTTTCTATGACTTTTTGATAAGATTGCTGATGGGGGTCTTATTCTGCTTATATAATATAGCAGTTGGATTATCAGCTTTTTTGACTGACCTAAGATATGTAACTATATGCTAAGACATTTTTTTTTGTCGTATCACGCGACCAGACCAGATTGCGTACAGGCTAATCTGTCACTACCCTGAGCACGGGAGTTATGAGGTGTCCGAACATAGGGTGTACAAAGGCTGTTCATATTTAGTTTTATATTTTGTAAATAACAAAATGAAATTTGAGGATAATAATGGTAACACCGTGTATTTTACATATTTATTTTGGTATTTGTTTGATTTGGTATTCGTGCTAGCGTTATTTGCTAACAGCCCAGTTGTATAAAAAAAAATCAAACCCAGTACAGCGTTGTTTATTTCGTAAGACGAGATGTAAAAAAAATAATAAGGATTACCCCCCAAGAGAAAGCTCTTTGATGTTGTTAATTTTTTATTTATTAAAGAAACAATGTATTGAGACATTTTTATTTTCAACATTCGCGTGCATTTTGAAGTATTATCTCAACTACGCATTTTAGCAATGCTACGTAAGAACTAACAAGACTCCCTCTCTCGTTGTAACAAAAAATAAGAACTTGACACTCGAGTGGTATTGTGTTACGTAATAAATAGATGGCGCTTATATTATATTATTGATATGTGGCGGTAGTTAAACTTTTCTTATTTAACCGAAATCGTTTATAAATTTTGATATTTCATGGTGAGATTGTATACGTCGAAAGTTAAAATCGTGTGATGGTTCATGTGAAAATAATTTTAAAGAGCAAATTTAACAACTATACAAATCCAATAACCATTCAGTTTCTGTGTAGAGATGGAACGTGAATGGATATCACTGTTTCTCTTAAAATCAACATTAATTATGTAGTAGGCAGTTTTTTTTGCTATCTCCTTCTAAATTATGTATTTTTAATACAATGGAGCAAGACAAAGTACGAGGAAGTGTAAGATATATCGAAAAAGGTGTTTAATAGTATGTACGGGGGCGTCCATAAATTACGTGAGGTGTTTTTTTAAATTTTCTGTCCCTCCCTCCCCCTCTGGTGAGATATCGTGAGATTTTATTCAACCCCCTCCCCCATCCCCCAATCTCACGTGAGATTTTTCAAAATGCAATTTGATGAGTACTTGCGAGTATTTGCCTTGTTGTAGTATCGTGTACTCAGTATCGAGTATCGCTTTTGAAAGTATCGATACCTACTCGGTATCGAAAGTATCGTTCGAGCCTACAAATATGGTGGTTTGACATTCAGTCGATGTATAGCGTCGAAATATGAATGAAATTATTTTCTTTCGAACGAATTAGTGAATGATCTTAATCGTATACGATTACGCTTAAGATTAAATCTTAAGCATGTACAATCTAGATTAAATGGACCAAAATAGTATTTATTTTGTTTCAATCAGAAAAAAAATTGCGTGATATTTGCCGAGACCCCCCCCTCTCTCCAACGTAAGATTAGATGAGATTTGCCTCGACCCCCTCCCCCCTTTAAACATCTCACGTAATTTATGGACGCCCCCTACGCTTCCTGACGCGATATAAATGACAAACAAACATTTACAATAAAATGGACACGTAGAAATGATCAAAATTAATGTTTTTAATAATCAACTGTTTCACACTGTTCGCGAAACAGCTGATTACTTTTTCGTAAATTCAGTGTTGCTCCCATAGTAAAAGTTATTCAGTATATTTAACTCACCCACCCCACGAACTTCTGGCACATAATAATATTATACCTTATATACCCTCAGCGGCACAGATTTTGAAAATAATTTTAAGCATCATCCATTTATAATGTAAGACTAATTTTGACAGTGTTTCACGTGAATGAGTTAGGAGAAAATGATTATAATTTTATCTGAAGTTTCTTTTTTTTTAATAATTGTGACTGCTGGTTGTTGTGATCTTACTTAAGACTCCCTCCCTTCCCGTTGTAAGAAAAATGAGACATGGTCGACATCGTCTTACCTAATAAATGGAGATTGAGAACTGCGATGAAAAAACAAAGGGGGTTAGAGAACTTCGATATTTTTGTGTAGCCTGTCGTGCTGTTGACTGTACAGTACAGTCGCGGAAGTTAGCAGTATTCCACTTTTCATGTGATGTTTAATGCATAAACAAAATAAAAATTAAACTTATTAAAATAACAATACTATTTATTAAGAAATTTGAGAAAGATTTTAATAAAGTCATCAGCACGGCATTATATGAAATTACCTTTTTTCACTTCATTTAAGACCTTAATTTATTTACGGTAAAATTGAAAATCAACTGTGGAAATTTGGCATAGTGTTATAATGAGCGTTTAACGAAGTTTGTCAACTGGATACACATGTAGATTTTGATTTAAAATTCTTGAAGTATTTTTTTTTACTAAATAATAAATTCATGAGTCATTAAATTATTTCTAGTTGGGACACCATTATGGCTCTTATAATTTGGACAGTTGTGTAATAAAAGGTTATCGACCCCTTGATGGGGCGAGGGGATGTTTTTCTTATTAAACTACTAGTAGTTATAGGGTAATTTGGTATATTTTTTAAATTATACATTTTCATTTCATATGTGAACTTTTCCGACAATACACTGTATAATTATGAATTTGTATTGTTAAGATAAGTTAGTATTGTGATTTTTTCGATATGATCCGTTGTATGTTGTAGTTTTTATCAAAGTGGATTTATGTACCTACTAAGTAAACTTAGATATACGAGTCCATAATTTTAGAATTATTAGTTAATAAGTGCGTCCGAGACGGTTAGTTGTAAGCTGTTTTCTTTTACATTTTATTTTATCGATGTTTTTAATTGGAAGTTGAAAGTTTATGCAAATTTATTAATTTTATCAGTCGAGCAATCCGGCTCGAAGGACCAAATTATTTTCGAACAAACTTTTTCAATTGATCTCAATGGCGTAACTTTGTTTCTTTCTTATCAGAATATATTATTACGTATGCCAGAGTACAGTTAGAGAAATCCTATTTATATTTGTTTTTATATTAAAAGGTCGTCTCGATTCGTAAATAAAAGTCATGAAATCTTTATTTGTTCTACTGTACTCTTTTTAAAAGTGAAGAAATGAATTTTAGTATTAAATTAATTATACAAATAAATATTTATTATTCTGATCAAATAAGGAAGACTGTTAAAAATTTCAAACTGAGTAATTAAATAATATTATACAGGGTTATATGTAAAACACCATCAACTTCGCAGGACTAAATAGCTAACATGGATAATAGATAACAAACAAAGTTGAGTTTTTATTCTACTGCATATTTCATATTAATATACTATGTTTTATTCATAAATGAAATGACCTCTACTGTCTTTCTATTAAGATTTTAAATCGAGTGGGGAAATTTGTCAACTTTATATTATCTTAGGTGCATTTGGTTGGAGAGCTTATATTACGAGCCATTTCCCTTGCGGTAACTAAACGGTACTAGATACGCGTATTGTTATTTAGTTAAAACTTTACATATTCTAACTGAATGTTACATAGAAATGACTTCAAGAGAACTGTGTATAACTAAACAATGGCTATATGTTTTTTATAAGTTAGGCTATGAAAATATTTTTGTAAGAAAACAAAACAACAAATGGTCAGAACTCATAAAACAGCTATTGTAAATTGCGATGATAGCTATTTAGTCCTTAGAGATGGGGCAAAAGTATAGAAACTATAAATCACGCTAATTTTAATGCTAACCTTATTTTAATAATAATAGCCCGAATTATGGCAAATACTAGGTAAACTTTCGTGTTTTTATTGAATTAAATAATATTTAAATTTATTACATCATAATATAAATTCAAGTCAGGGTTGAGGGCGGGGCAAGCGCCCCAACTTGCTTCACCATAGGTAGCCCAGCCCATGGTTGCTAGGTTGTTGGTGTTATAAACCTTACCCTGTATATTTAACGTAGCATAAAAATCATCAACATGTATTTGAAGTTTCTGACCAGTAGCTGACCAGTTTTAAGTATTCTGTATATTTTTATGAATATTACCAACGATCGATTTCGATAATAGTGAGCTTTTGCTTGTTTTGCCAAAAATAATGTGATAGCTAAACTTATCCAACTTGAGGTTCGTATTTTTGTTTTAAAGTTTAGTAGGTAGGTTTAAATATCGACTGAAGATCATGATCTCTACCGTACATTGATCTCAAGTAGTTTAAGTTCATTCGAGGCGTGCGCACGCGCACCACAGCTCGCGTCGATACAAATTATTTAGTAATGTAACTTACTTTTACATATTAATTCAGAAATAGCACGTAAATCAACGTATTTCGTACAGTTTGAGGAGCACATGTTTATTTCGTATTTTAAGCCATCACAATAATTATAATATTGTGCATACTCCTCATGATGTGTTAGATTTGATTTTTTTTATAATATCATTAATCAACATATTGTGTAACTGGTTTGCCTGTACTTTTTTTAATGTAGGTAAATTTTAAAATAAGTCATATCATTTAAACATGATATTAATGTTCATCTTTGTTATTGGTTTGTGTATTTTACTGACTACTAATATTTATGTAACAAACAGTTTGTAAACCTACAATTTTATATGAATAATAATAAAACTTAAAGTACGAGTCTATGTTTCCTTGTAATATATCCTTGTGAATGGATTGTGTAACATGATTTATGTGCCAAATCACTAGTAGGAAGTAATTTTGGGAATCTGCCAATGTTCATTGACTGACTGACTATATTTAATCAGAGGTGTATTTCATTCTTTTAAAATAATTTACTTATAGTATATTTTTAACAAAAAATTTAAAATCAGTTATTGTTTCGAAAGTATGAGAAGTAATATGTGGAAAAAGTGACACGACGAAACGACGATTTTCTTTATATTTTCTAAATCCTGACCTGTGTTATGATGTCGTATATATAGATTACATAATATAGAGCAAATGTGTAGCACATTTGGCTTGTATTCACAGTTTCAACGTAGTATAGTATAGTGCTACGCTGTGATTGAAAAAAAATATATTTACTTCTCAAATAGCAGTTACTAAATATGGAAGAGAATTTAGTTAATGATGTGATAGTTTTGTATAAGGACAAGAAATGGAGAGACATAGTAGAAAAGTATCATGATCACCCGGAAAGAAATAAATTGCTCTGGGTGTACCCGTCTGAGAACAATTTCCGGTTTATCAAGGAGTGTTTGCAGCAGCTCGGCTGTGACAAGATCATGAGTGTCGGGTGCGGCAGCGGACTGCTGGAGTGGATGATTACACAAGCTACAGGTGAATATCGTATATATATTTTAAGTGAATGTTTTACTGGCATAATAATACGATGTACTACTAGTATCAGTTATAGTCAATATTCAGTCAATATTATTGTCAATATTCAGTAATTTGTCAAAAATGCTATACGCTTTAGATAATATACCTCAGTAGCCGAGTGGTTCGCACGCCGGTTGCCATCACTGAGGTCCCGGGTTCGATTCCCGGTCGGGTGAATGTAGAAAATGAACTTTTCTATATTCTCTCGGTTCTACGTGTTGTGGTACCTTCGTTGTCTCATATACTCCATAATACGGGGGTTTCAGCTACTCATCTTGGAATCTGAGCAATGTATGTGAGTTGTCTAATATTAATTTAATTAAAAAGATCTGTGGTTCAGTAAAGAAAGAATATATTGGTCGTTAAAAATTGGGGGTATATGCAATTTAAAGTTTCTACGGAAAAAGTTGTAGCACCGGACCTGATGCCGCCGCGGGCCTCCGACGGGGTTAGTCCGCCACTAAACGGCACGTTAGATTATAACAAAATTTTAATTGTATCTATAATGAATGACACATTTCAATCGGACCAAATTACGTTCACAGGCGTTCCTGTATCGGGGGTTGAAGTGGACGGCGCCTGGTGGCACTGCAAATATGCTCCCCCAACATTTATACCGCTCATGATGACCACTTCAAAATTAGAAGATGACCTCATCTCTATTCTACGAGCTTCGAATACGACCGCTCTATTGTTCTGCTACTTCAACAACAGAGATGCTTTCGAGGACTATTTAAAGTACTATTCAGGCAAAGTTCTTATTATCATCGGTCCAAAAGGCAAAGGAGTCCATACAGACCCAAAACCGTTTGGCGACCTTAACGATACTTGGAAACTATGGAAAAGTCAAGAAGTCAGAAGTAGCATGGACTATATTGCAGTATATCTAAAAAATATTTATAATTTCTAAAAATAAAAACATTCCATAAAACAACATTGATTTATATTTAACAGTCTTGTCAAATGCATATTACGTCTAAATCATACCTAATTTACAAACAAATTATTTACATTAATTTTTCATTAATTCTATATTCTTTACATTGATTTTATTAGTACATGGTCTAACGCACGTATTCATCATAGGGTCCTTTTTTCCCTGTATAAAATTTTGGAATTCGATATTTGAGCTTTCTGACGTCACAATATCTGTGTCTTTCTGATTGATGATAGGCACTTCAGTGACCATCCTATTTATCTCATTGACGGGCATCTCGGACATGCTGCTCGTGGGTACATCGTTTTCAAGGAAATGGAAATCATTATGCATTACATATAAGGATTCTAAGGGGAAATTCATATCGAAACGAGGCAGTAGTTTGTTATCGTCAGAGTTGTCGTCTATTTCGATGACGTCATTCTGTTGATCATCTGATACTTCCGGAAGCACTGTAGTAGGCAAGTCCAAGTGGCCAGAATATTGCTCCCCTATTATGTTGTCTATTAAATATTGGTCTATCAAAGGAGGATTCGCGGCGGCGTTATTAAGGGCAATGTTATAGAATGAATCGGACTTCACTTCGTTTTTAATTTCATTCATATTCTTGTGAATGTCCTCTAATGGAGGAGAAGCTTTATATTCCCTACTAATAGCTTGAGTACTAAGCAAGTTAGCATTGCACATCCGCTCTAAACTAGGTGATTGAGTATTCTGTTTGATCGTAGCTTCTAGTTTTATGTAGCTCGGGTCGTTTGTTTGAATTTTCTGCGACGGAGGCAATAAAGTTATCGTGTTGACGTTCATCTGTTGATTAAACGTGAACATTTGTGTTGTGTTATTGATTTCGTTGACGACGGGAGTGGATGCAGCATCCAACAAAGTGTCTTGCTGATAGGACATCATAGTATTAGGCGAGTCATTCAGCGTCGGTCCTGGTTGGAGCTGCATGAATTGCGTCGTGATCAAATTGTTGAAGGTCATCGGTCGTCCCAGACCAAATCTTTCGTTGTCTTCTAAACGCTTGAAAGCCATCTTTTGCTGCGAATGGAACATGTTCTCTTGGTCAGGACCTTTCAAAATGAGGTTGCTTTTTACTGATATTTTTGGCTTCTTTCTCGGTACTCCATCAGGCTCCATCGAGATGTTAACAGGTGAACTACTAGAAGACGGCACTGGTAGTATTTGTGTTGTGGTTATTATAGGTCCACCCATTTTAGGCAGGGACAATCTGTCCACAGGCTTGAGCATAATGTTGTTACGACCGGATAGTTGCGGAGCAGGAGGTAACCGTATAGGAAAATTACTCATTATATTACTACAATTATTTCCCATTGGCGAGTGACTAGAAGCTAGCGAATTAACACTGTTACTCTGTAGTAAAGTCTGTTCCATTGGTACAGTAGTATTTAGGAAACCATGTAGATTAGACTGGCTGTTTTCATAGGTCATTTGCAGCCTTTCTAGTAAAGTGTCGTCAGAGCTTTCAGATATGAGGCAGTCTGAGTTGTTGTCATCTTTACTAAGATCTGTTATTTCTTGTGGATTAAAATTTGACTGCTGCAAGTCAGCATTTGATTGATTGAATGTTTCGGAGAGATTATAGCAGTCGTAGACATCGAGAGGTATAGTGCTCACTGTAGTGTTGTTTTCATTATCCTGTTCACTAGGGACATGATCGGTAGATGGGTTTTTGGCATCAGTGTTACTTGGTATTGTCCAACTTGGTTTGTTTTGTTTAGATTTCGTAATTTCTATTAGAAGTTGTATACCTTCTTTATCTGGATGAGTGGTGAGGTGTACTACGTATTTGTCTTTACTGAGCGTTTTGAATGGGCAGTAAGGGCAGCGGTGTAGGTCATTAGAACTGACATTGGGGTGGTTGGAGATCATGTGTGAGGCAAATTTTGTAGATTGAATTGCACTATATGGGCAATATTTACATTTGTAGAGATTTTCATTGGAGTGTATTTTCTTGTGTCTCCTTAAGGCATTGTGATCTGATGACCTGTACTGACATTGGTCACAGCTGTATGGCTTGTCACCTGGAACAAAACAAATAATTTACTTTATCATTCACATCGGCAGTTATAGCCTACAGTTTCAGGGAACCAAAAGTCAGGAGCCCAACTCTTGTTTCTTCGAAAACGATATTCAGAAGTATAGAAACGTATTTAAAATGTTTATTCTGAAATTTATTCTAGAGTCTACGACGATACCAGTACTACTTATTATATTAAAAAATGCTCTAATAGCACATAGCGTTTCGAAAATATGCGACATCTCAGTTCCAAACAAACAGGAACTGTCTACTAAATAGGATAAAGTAACAGGTTCAGTCATCACAATATAAAATCAAATTTAAAAAATTGATTTTAAGCTTTATTCTGTTGATAATTAAATAAAAAGAAATTTTATATATGTGGTATTCTGCTGCGTGTAAATAATATCATATTAGATGACTTTAAAATTTACATGTTCACAATTTTTACGGAAATACACATAAAATTAAAAACTGTTAAAAAACAAGCCAAATATGTAGTTCACCATATTTGTCATCAGTTGACAGCATCACAGATTACTACAAAACTTAATGTATTGCTCTGTGTACAATCAAAATATGCATATTATGTTCTATTATTTATAAACTATGATACTCTGACTAAGAAAACATAATACGAATTTTACCCTATGTGGAGCTGACTAGGGCAACATTTTGTTGCTGGCAGCCTTACCATGTTTTGATATATTATTACTAGCCTCTTTACGGAGGCTTTTATACTTATTTTTAATTTATATATATATTTTTTTTACCTTTTGACTTTGTCAATGTGTTTTGGTTTGTTCTTGTATCTTGTGTTTTATATGTTAGTCATTAAATAAATCTTTTTCTTTGCTAAAAGTTATCTCATTAAATTTTATACAGTCCATTGTGTCTGCTGTCGATTACATCTTATTAGATTTGATAAATTTTGCTTTTACATTACTATAGTGTCACATATTTTTAATAAAAATTCCCGAACATTGATTTAAATATGCTCGTAAGTAGTGAAAAGTAACAAGTGCATGAAAAAAGAATTGTTAAGTCTCAGGTAGCTCAATGGTCGCAGTCATGCTGTTTGTGAAAGGTTGTAGGTTTGAGTTGTATCTCGTGGTATTTGGCTGGTAAATTCTTTAAACATTCTTGCATAACAGTAATATAACTATATTTTATAGTGATATTCACCCTAAAATCCCATATTTTTAAACATACCTGTATGTGATCTCAAGTGCCTTTTCATTTCCTCCTTCCTGGCGGCAGTATAGTCGCAGTGGCAGCACTTGAATGGTTTCACTTTGTCATGGACTGCGGTGACATGGAGACGCAAACGTCTCTCGTTGCTGAACTCTTGTTGACATATGGAACATTTGGACACCTTCTTGTGGATTAATTTGTGTTTTGAAAGTTGGTTCGCATTTTTAAATCTTTTTGTACATATTGGACCTGTTTAAATAAACTACATACATTAATATTAATCAATATTATCTGCAAGTATACATATCCTATCTGGTAATTACTATTTTGAACTTAACAAGCCACTGAGAAATGATTAAAATTGAATAACTGCAAAATATACTTCATTCCGCCAGCAGCTTCACCCGTGTGGTCTTGTATTATACATAAAAACCTTCCTTTAGAACCACCCTATCTAGTTAAAAAAAATTGCATCAAAATCTTTTGCATAGTAATAAAGATTTAAAAGCATACATACGGATATAGGGACAGAGAAAGTGACTTTGTTTTATACTATGTTGTAATGAAAAATGCTTAAAAATTTCACTTTGTTCCTAGCCCGTGTATCTCACAGTGCCAGAGACAAAGTGGATTTCTTAAGCATTTTTATTTAAGAATAAAAATGAAGAATAGACTTATAGTACACATCAACTATACAAAAAATATTATAATTAGTCAAAGTTTCAATTGGTATGGCAATTTTATCAATATTTAGTTGTACAGATACTATAAATCGGTACTTACAAACATATGATTTTCCATTTTCATGACATTTCATATGTATATTAAACAATCTATACTTCTTATAGGTTTTGAAACCGCACACTTCACAAGTGGGCAGTTCCATATCTATAGAATGAATCTTCCACAGATGTGTATGTAGTATTTCCTCATTGACGCATGCTTTAGTACATTTGGGACATATCAATTTACCATTCTGATGGCATTTTCTATGATATGCAAGTTTCTCATTGTCTTTCAAACGAATATGACATCCATCTATAGCACATAGAGTTCCAATTTCTGTGTTTTTATTAACAGCAGATGTTTTATCACTGGTGTCGTCCAATAGTCTATCGGGTACAGTTGTTGCTTCATTAGAATCTAATGTAATTGGTGAAGATAGGTTTTTGTTTTCTATATTTGATGTTCTAGGTTGAATTGATGATATTAAATCAGGTGTAATACTTGACACTTGGATCATGTTACATGAACTACTTGAGTTGCCAGGTTTAGATACATTTACATACTGTGCCGATACTTCATTTGTATACACTATATTTATGCTAGCTTCCTGAATAATTTCTTTAGGATCAACTTTTTCAAAATTTGGTGTACTCATCTTGTTAAGTTCATCTACTGATATGAAAGCAACACCTTTAGGCAAGTCATTGTTGGCATTGTTATTATCAGGAACTATTTCGATCACTTGGGGGATTTTAACATCATTGAGATCTTGTTGTAAGGGTATGGATGGTGAATCTGTGTTGATTTTGTCTTCTTTCTTTAATTTGGCATTCTTCAGAGCAATCTGCACAAGACTTTTAACCATCTTTTTCACATCCTTGATGCCCATTTTGTGATGGTTGCGCAAATGGGTTCTTAAGGTTTCCTCAGCATCGAATACACTGGTACAGCCCGGACAGGCTATCTGTATATTTTCGGCTAATCCGTTCCTCTTAGCCAGGTCAGGGTGTACAGTAAACAAATGGAACTTTATATCATCTTCAGCGAGTGCCATGTAAGGACACGCTTCGCATTTGAAAAACGGGGTTGATCCCACTGATTTCTCTTCATATGACATAACTTTTTCTTTGGCCACCAAAGGCTTTGTTTCATTTCGAATGATGGCATTCTGGGAGGGATTTCTGTTTAAATTTAACATGAAACATTGCGAGGCCATTGTCATTTCGATATAATACTAAAAAAATATCAAAGAGTAATAACATAACTTTAATTCCTGATTGTAAATCATGTTTAAAGATGAATGAACAACGTTTTCACTTTATTTTATAAATTTATTCAGCGAACACAGCTGTAAAGTAATGTAAACATCAGCTGTCATTTGACCACAGAACAATAATACTCTCATTTGACTATCATCTGGCATGTCTAGGGAACTGATATATATCGATATATCAACATCCAGAAATATCGATATATATCGCTAACAAAGATGCAGAGATATCGAATTCGAAAAATACTGACGTAACGAATGATATCCAAAGGGTCATTATATCAGATGTCTTACCTTCAAAACGCATAAATGTCTTAATCTTTACATCATCAGCATCACATCATTATTTCGTGTCCACTACTATTTCTAATAAAAGAAATAGTATTACAGAAGAGAAATTGAAGTTAAATTTTGTTTTGTATTTGTATCTACTCTGGTTTTGTTTATAAATATTAGCTACAAATTCTATCTATAAATACAAATTTTGCGTATCTCTAATAACAGTTTTAAAGTGACAGCTTTCTGTTTACGTGTGACGTCTTTTGCGATGACAACCAATTGCAGAGCGTTTTTGTCGTTCATTAAATAATTCCTAAAAGTTCCTAAGTTTCAATCTTTTAATTTGAATCCCTATTATTTACAATAAACATAAAATTACTTATTTAACTTTACTTAAATGAGGTATAGCATTTTATTATTTAAGTATTAAAATTTTTGAAAATTGAAAAAAGGGAAAGTTCATCAACTCTAGCTGATTCCCATAGAATTAATAAGTACTTCGTACAACTAGTACTTATTAATTCTATGCCGATTCCTAATTTGTCACCACAGAAAAAGTAAAAAGTTATTCTGTGGTGGTTTTACTTGTTCTGTGTTTGCCACCTAGTCATTTGCCATGATAGAGGTGAGCAGTACTTATTAGACCGGTATTCAAGTGGGACATATTAATTTTTTTTAAATACTACCTAGTACTTTTGTAAATTACTTGTTTTCAGATGCTATACTATAGTACCTGTAATATTTGTTTAGAGGCATACCTTGTACATTTCTCTATTTCACAATTTACCACATTGACTTCACGCAGTAAGAAATATCCCATTAGAGGAATAGTTGCATGAATTGTACCCTAAATTGAAAAGGAACTTATTGCCTTTAAATAGGTATTCTCTCAACTCCAAATAAAATAATAATATGTAAGATAAAAAGACTTATGTATTTTCTTGATAAATATTTTAAACAGAAAAAAAAAAACAAACTGACAATGACAAAGAATATAAAGAGAAAAAACAAAGTGGCCTATCAAAAGATATATGAAAGAAGGTTGGTGTGTAAACTAAATAGTTCCAACACTTCCCCTACTTCTGAATAAATTAATAGGCCATTATAAATGTTAAATTAAACCTAATCCTTTCGTTAAACACTGATGTCTTTGCTTCGATAGAAACTTGGTTAAGACATCTGCCTTCATTTCATTTGTCGGAATATATTGTATACCAATAATACCACTAGCAACAGTATCCCTAATAAAATGATGTCTAACATCAATGTGCTTTGTTCGTGAGTGATGAACGTTATTTTTTGTTAGCAGTTGAGCTCCCTGATTATCACTATAAATACAGACACCATTATCTAAACCAAACACTTCCTTCAATATGTTTTTGAGATATATGGATTCTTTTGCAGCATCACTAAGTGCCATATATTCGGCTTCGGTTGTTGACAAGGCGACCGTTCGTTGTTTACGTGATTCCCATGATATAGGTCCATTTAAATAAAATACATATCCAGTGTAGGATTTCCGGTCTTTTAAACATGCACCATAATCAGCATCAGTATAGCCCGTAAGAGTGAGTATATTTTTCTTCTGGAATCGGAGTTTAAGATGCATTGTCCCTTTTAAATATCGTAGAACTCTTTTTGCTGCATTCCAGTGAATTGTCCCATAATTAGAATTAAACTGACTTAACACACTTACTGCATGTGTAATGTCTGGCCTAGTTCCTACAGATAGATACATAAGAGAACCAACCAGTCTTTGATAAGGCAAATGTTGAGCTGCTTCTTTATCTTCATTTGAAGGATTCACTAACTTTAAATTAGGATCAGCAGGTGTACTAGCCGGTTTTGCATCAGTCATAGCAAAATTATCTAGTACCTTTTTAATATATTCTTCTTGATCAATGGCTATACCATTTTCCTCTTTTGCGATTCTCATTCCTAAGAAATGTTTTAAGTTTCCTAAATCCTTGACCTTAAAAAATTGTTTAATATCCCTTTTAAAATTTTCTTTCATATCAGCATTATTACTGAGAATGCAAAAATCATCAACAAAGATTGCAACAATTAACATGCAAGTTTCATTAACTTTATAATATAGGCAATGATCATGTTCAGACCTTTTCATTCCAAGTTGCATCATTGCTTCGTTAAGTTTAAGGTTCCACTGTCTAGGCGCTTGTTTTAAACCATAAAGTGCTTTCTTTAACTGGCATACCTTCCCCTTGTTGCATTCTTTAGTGAAACCCTCAGGTTGTTCCATATATATTTCTTCATTTAGATCACCGTTAAGAAAAGCAGTTTCAACATCCATTTGATCCATTGTTATATTCCATTGTGCTGCGAAAGCAAGCAGTAATCTAACTGTTGAAAGGCGTGAAACGGGTGCGAATGTTTCGTCATAATCTACGCCGTAAGTTTGTGTAAAGCCTTTGGCTACTAATCGTGCCTTATAGCGTGTGTTTTCTCCGTTTTCATTTTTCTTTATTTTGAATATAATAAGGACTATTTTTCTATTTTTAGGTCTATCCACAAGGACCCAAGTTTTGTTAGTTACAAGTGAGTCATATTCACTTTGAAGAGCCTCTTGCCATTTATTTTTATCATCAGAACTAATGGCTTCCTTAAAGGTTGAAGGGATATCATCTTCTTCAGCTTTGTAGAGAACTATATCTTCTGACCACTTTTTCGGGATTCTGTTTCTCAATGGATATCTCCTAACAGGTTGAGAAACTTGATTGTTTGTACTATCCGAAATTTCAGTAACACTGTCATAAAATTCTTCTTCAGTGTCGTCATTTCCAGTTACCTGTGTGTGTGTTAAAGGTTCAGTTTCGATATTGTTGATTTCTCCTTCAGTTAGTATATTTTCAGAATTTTCTGTAACTATAAAAGGTTCAGTAATAATGTTGTTGACTTCTCCTTCGTTTGGTATATTTTCAGAATTTTCTGTAACTATAATAGGGACGGATTCTGATACTTGAGTTCCAACTTTATCAACCATATTATTTTGATCACTTGACTGCGATTTGAATAAAAAATCATTTTCAAAAAATTTTACATCTCTTGTCTTAATAAGAATTTTTGGATGTTCAGGATCAACTACTCTGTATCCCTTAGTTTCGGTGCAATAACCTACAAATATGCATAGTTTGGCCTTAGCATCAAATTTCTTTCGAAGAATTTTAGGTATGTGCGCATAAACTCTGCATCCAAAACGAAGATGTGAAAGATCCACTTTTCTTCCTGTCCAGATTTCATCAAGGGTTTTCCCTCTAATAGCCTTAGTCGGTGAGCGATTTTTCAAGTAAGTCGCTGTATTGATTGCTTCTCCCCAATAACTTTGAGGTAGAGCAGATTCTGAGAGCATAGATCTGGCTTTCTCTACTAAGGTTCTGTTGACTCTTTCAGCCAGGCCGTTTTGCTCTGGATTGTGAGGCACAGTCGTTTGGTGAACTATACCGGACTGTTTCAAAATTTCTTTCATTTCCGAATTCAAATATTCACCACCGTTGTCAGAACGTAGAATTTTAATCTTTTTGTCAGTTTGGTTCTCGGCTAAGCTTTTGAATTCGCGAAATTTTTCCACAACTTCTGATTTTTGTTTAATTAGGTAGGTAAATGTTTTTCTAGAAAAATCGTCAGTGAAAGTCACGAAATATGAAGCACCTCCCAAAGATTGGGTACTCATAAATCCGCAAACGTCACTGTGAATAATTTCCAACAAATTTGTCGATTTTGAATCTGACGTTTTGAAAGGTTGCTTTGATAATTTACCTTCCACGCAAGCAATGCAATTATCTTTAATAGATCCAGCAGGCTTGGGATACCTGACACCAAGAGCTAAGTTTTTTCTAAGCAATTCCATAGATCTGAAGTTCAGATGACCAAGGCGTTTGTGCCATAATTCAGCTGAATTTTCTTTAACTTCTGTTAAATTCGCGTGAGCAGTAGGTAAATCAAGTTTGTACATACCATTGATATTTGAGGCTGTGCATAAAACTTTTCCGAATACCTTACACGTTTCTCCATCAATAATTTTTCCTCCAGATTTCGAAAAAAGTACGACATTCCCTTTCTTTACCAATGAGTTCACTGAAAGCAGGTTCGTTGAGAGGTTCGGAACATGCAAAACATCGGTAATATTGGAAGTGTTTAGTTTTACAGTACCAATGGCATCTGAAAGAATTATTTGATCATTAGCTATTCTAATACTTTTCGTGACAGGTTTAGTATCATGTAGCCAATCACGTCTATTAGTCATATGACTTGTAGCCCCGGAATCTATAAACCAGTTATCACTCTTTGCAAGAAGCGACTTATCAAAAATTGGTTTACACATAAAAGAGTTTACAAAAGTTTCACTAATCTCCAAATTATCAAAATTAGAATTAGTCACGGACTGATCATCAACCACAAGTGTTACCTCGCAAATTTCGGCCTTTTCATCTTTGGATTTAGCTTTAAGAATTCTACAATTTGGTTTTATATGCCCTGGTTTACGGCAGTAATTACAAAATATGTTCTTAGTGTCTCTATTAAATTTGTTGTAAGACAACACTAAAGCACTATCTTCAGGTGTTTTACTGCAGGTGGCTAAATCTCGGCTGTCTTCTTTCATAAGTGCAGCAATGACTTTGTCTGATGTTAGTTCAGTGCCAGAATGTTCCAATGCCATGACGAGTGGCTTAAATTGATCGGGTAGATTACAAAGCAGTATAATTGCAACAAACGAATCATCTACTTTGTGGTTTATTTGTTCTAATTGTTGGTGTGTCGACATAATCTCATTAACATA